GCAAGTGGATTTATGCAGCCAGCAGACGCTTGCATCATAAAATTTGTATAGAGCAAAATTCTGAAGTCTGAAGTCTGAGTGGACAAGTAGTGGGCGTGGTCGTGGTGGGGAGTTACATTTTCTAAATGTAATAAAATTTAGCCGCAGCGCTTCAAGCTGTAGCTGCAGCTCAGGCTAAAGAGCCAAAAGTTAACATTAACTGGCAGTTAAGTGCCTGTCAAAGCTCATTTGAGTTGACAATCCGCTCAATTTGCTTCTCAGTTGCAATTCCAACCAAAAAGTCTCTATTTCTTTATGAGATTTGTGCAGAAATATTCACAAACAGATAAGCGTTCTTTGGGTTTTTTAGCTACAAATATTAAATCAATTCTCATTGAGTTGATGGTGAAGTCCATTTTAACTGGCAGTTAAGTGAATATCAATAATAATTGAAATTAAAATGAAATTCTTTCTACAAGAAAAGAATGTTAAGTAATCTCAACATTATTTTATTTATTATTATAAATTTTGTTTAATTTTTTATTTTTTGTTAACTTTATTTCCTTCGAATATAAAAAAAAATAGTTATAAATTTATTGTTTTAAATGGTTAATTGTGGCTTTTCAATTGAGATTATTTATAGTAAGTGGAGCATTTTTTATTTTTTTTATTTTTTTTTTTTACTATTACTATTTTTTTATTGATTTATTTCTTTTTTTATTTTAAGTTTTGTTGACTTCAATCATAAGACAATCATAAAATAAGTTGCTGTCAAAAGTTGACATCTACTTAAATATATAAAAAAAAAATACTCAGTTTTTTGAATTGCTTTACAGAGTATTGAAAAGTCTTACCTGATAGGAAATGGACTTCCTCGATGCTTTTCGTTATCCTTTGGATTTCCATATTTTCATGAGTTCATAGATATATATATATATTTTTGCTTAGCTAATTTGAATTCAATGCTGGCTGCTTAATATTAAAAGATACTAAAAAAAAAAGAATGAAAAAAAAAAAAAAAATAAGAATTGGTTTAACTTCTGCTCATAAATTGGAAAATAAAAATTTTCATTTTCATTTTGAGTCGATATAATTATGTTGACGCTGCTTTATGGCAGAGACAGCAGCAGCAGCAGCAGCAGCAGCAGCTAAATGTGCATGTGTGTGAGTGTGTGTGTGTCTATGTGTGTATAGCATGAGAGATTTTATAGCAAATTAAATTTTATTAGCGCACAAGGTGCGCTGACATTCCCTTATGCCGGGATTACGTGTTATAGCTCAAGTAGATTATGGAAAGGTGCAGAAGTTTCAGCTATTGTGCTAAAGGGATTTTCCCATCTGTGTATGTAGGTGTGAATGTCGGTGTGTATGAGTGTGTGCGTGTGAGTGGTTTCGGCTGCTGTCGTTTCGAGTAGTTGTCATTGTCATTGTCCTTATCAACGGCGACAACAAAAAAGAAAACTTTTGCAAAACATCTTACAAGTGCCAGGACATGCGTATAGACCAAAAAAAAAAAAAAAAGTTCTCTATGCCAGTTTCAGGTGAGCTGTGCTCTATCGCTATCCATCTCTTTTTCTCTTTCTCTCTCTCTCTCTCTCTCTCTCTCTCTCTCTCTCTATCTATGTTATGTAACCTTTAGCTGCCGGCATTATGATGAGTTTTGCTTTTGCCCAGAGATTCTAAGGCTAAAAACTCGTAAATACCTTCATTATCGTTAAATCATGCTGAGAGCTGAACTCTTGCCCCCAACAGCTACATACATATGTACGTGAACCATATGAACCATGCGAACCGATTCTGAACCCAAGCCCAAGCCGAGGCCCAAACCCAAACCCAAGCCCGAACCTAAACCAACATGCAGTCTCTGCCTTTTATTTGCCCTTTATTTCTGTGGAGCTGGAGCTTTGTGCCTGGGCTCATGTGGACTTTTAAATAGATTTAAATGCGCATTTAAATGAAATAAATGAACAAAGCATTTGCCCGGGCAGCGGCCTTTCAGCTTGCCAGCTGATAATTTAGACGAGTGCCCAAGCACACACACACACACACACAGAACAACTTGTCCAGGTTTTCTTTTCTTTTTATAAATTTTTTTTTTTTTTTTGATTCATGAGCAGCGCGAGAGCGAATTTTTTTTGTTTTTTTTTTGTTGGTAATGACCAAAGTTTCGCTACATTTTAACATTCACGCCTAATAAACTAGCAAATTAATATACAATCGCGTTGCGGCAGCACAATTAACTGCTCGACTTCCGCATACCCTGGGCACATCAAACTCACATTCGCTGGGGAGTCGAAGTGAAGTGCTGCGACTGCCTGACTGTCTGTCATCTATGCCAATAGCCACGCCCACAATTGAGCAGTGCCCTCTGACTGTCTGCCTGCGTTTATTTATAGGCCTCTCTACCTTAGCAGAAAAAAAAAAGCAAGCAAACTTTTTGGCATCATAAAAACGCAATTAGATGAAATTTATTATGATTTCTTGCTGCTTGCCTTGGAATGGCGTCAAATGTTAATTACAAATATTCATAAATTACGCTAAGCGAGTGACGTCACAGGCGCCATAATGACTTATGTGAGATACACACACACACACACCAGTGCCTCGCATATATTAGTGTGCGTGTGTGTGTTAGAGTAAAACAAATTTTAATTAAAAACTCAATTCGCTGAAAAGTTGTGCTAAAACTTTTCGCCTTTTGCCAGCCAGATAGACGGAGAGCGCGAGCGCGAGCGAGAGAGAACGACAACTCAAGAGAGCAACCCTTGCAGCTCTGCCTGCACCTGTTTATATGCCGGGTGGCAGCCAATTTAAGAACTTAACTCGCTAAATGTAAAAATAATTGCCACTAAAACCCCAAAAAACCAAAAGTTTTCTATGCACAAATAGCAAAAGTTTAGCTATCAAATGAACATGAATGCACAATGTGCCTAACTCAGTCTGTGTGTGTCTGTGCGTGTGTGGGTGTGGTGTGTTTGCTTGTGTGTGTGTGCATATGCCTGATTTAGTTATGCATTCATTTTGCTTTATGAACTTTTCATGGCTGAGTGCGTGTGTGTGTGACCAATTGGATTTCTTATGAATGCAACTTTTTGACTTTGTGTGGTCAAATGGCTTGCCAAAAAAGTTAAAAAGTTAATACGCTTCAGGCACAAATCCTTCTACCCTGCCTCCACGTCTTCAAAACTATTTGCTCAAATATTAATAAAGACAAAGTGTTAATAGAGACAGTTACTTGTAAAAGTTTTCGTTGAGCTAACGAAAATATAGGGCCAACGGGCCAAAAGCTGTCGTTGTCAACTACATCGTGTCGTCAATCGAGATCGAAAATCTATAATAGGAATATCGTTCTATACAAATATATCTATTTGGAATCATAATGAAATTATACTAAAACTTAATAGCCAAAATACAGCATTATTAATTAACAAGTTATTTGAATTAAAATCAAATGATTCTTTGAATTTATCTATCGATATCAGGGTATCGATAAATTTTCAAATTAAACTCTAAACTCTAAATATATCATAAAGATATTTTCGTTTTGATAAGCAACGACATAAACTCGTGTTATCTCTATAATTGTATTGATAATTACAGTCTATGGTTAACATATAATCTGATAAATAAATAAAGTCGTGGCTCGATAAACCCGCCAAATCGAAATTCGCGATAAATCGAACAAAAATTCTATCCCCTTGAAAGAAATTCGTGCTCAATAATTCTCKATAAATTGAAATTCTGTGTAAATCGAATTATAGGGATTCTACTATATATATATTCATATATTTACATATCGTGGCTTATGTATGAGGAAGTGCAGTCGTTGATTGCATTTGCTGTTTGGTTTCAGCTGCCGCAATCGATGACAAATTAGGATTTAGGCATCGATAGATTCTCTTTTGGCTGAGTTCAGAATTCCTCCGATTTTGCTGTATTATCATATATCATATGCAATTGGCTATTATTCACAATCTATGTGGTGTACGTGCAGTTGAGCTTGAGCAAAGCAAACTTTGTATGCAGCGTCGAGAGAGAAAGAGAGAGAGAGGGAGAGATAGGGAGACAGATAATAATGTATTAACCGATAAGGATAATAAAATTACCTCTTGTAATCTATGATAGATAGCAAGCAGGTGACACAGAAATGAGAGAGAGAGAGAGAGAGAGAGAGTTAGAGAGCGCTGATAATTAATAACTGTCTGTCCCTGCTTGCTCAGTAAGTAAACCAATCGGGTATATCATATGATGTCTTTATATTGCTGTGTTTGGACCACTACTTGACAGGCATTGAATTCGTTTAATTGATTCTTTAGAAACACAAAATATTTGAAATCAATCGTTATCTGCATCATAAAACAATTTCTCTCTCAAAATGAGATAGTGAGACGCAACCTGTGATTGGGCTGATAAAAATAACTTTTGTTTATGCCCGCTCACAAGGGAAATGGGTATAATATATAGATATATATATAAATATTTACATTCCCTATTTATGCTTGTTCGATAAGTAAAGCGAGCAGATTCGTGAAATGTTATAAAATGGAAAGATATTAGCTTAAACTTGATGAGATATTATAAGGACTTATATATATTTATATTTTATCTATATCGTATATGATCTATAGCTTGATGAACTGTGATGATAATCTATATAGCTATCAATCCGAGAGGGTATTGCACAGTCTTTATGTTATAATTGATAGAAATTAGTGGTCTTCTGTAAAGTAAGCGAGTATTGCGCAGTCAGTATCAATTGATAACAATAATCGACATGTATTTCGCTGTTGGAGCAATCCAAATTTCAGTCAGTCTTCATTTGCCGAATCGAAATGTTAACCAAACAACATTGTCTGATCGCTAGTGGCCCGATTGCCATGGGCTTGGCCCTAGCCACATTTGCCATTGATTCAAATTATGAATATCGCGATTGTAAGTAACAAATGTGTATAATATGTTTACATACATAATGCGGATTGGTGCTAATTGTTGAACATTTAAATGCAGATGGCGCCTTTCTTAATATTTTGCGTTGCATGCAGTTGATGGCAACTATTTCGCTGCTCTTTGGCCTGCTGAAGAAGGATGCGATGCATAAGGAAAAATTTGTACTCTTTTGGCTTATTGTGTCAAGTGTTCTCTTCAGTTTCCTCTGCTACTTCTGTCTAATATATATAGGTAGAGAACTATTCGACTTTTACGACTTTATTGGATTTGTGGGGCAATTCTTTTTGCTTTGCCTCATTGTGGGCCTAACTGGTGAGTCGTTCAGTTGAGTTCAGATTGAGCTCAAAGTCTGCCAATTGATAATTGGAATATCTGAACAATAACAATTTTTATTGCAGTTCTTATGGGATATTTGCTGTATTTCGTCTATCAGCAATATGTGGAGATGACGAAGGAAATCGCAGAGGCAGCTGCAGCACAAGCTCAAGTACCAAATCCAATTGTTCAAACCAAGGATCCGCTGCCTTCGTACGATCAATTAAATGTAACCATACAGAATTAATATGAGCCAAAGTTGATTTTCAACAAAAGGCGCAATAAAGTTGATAAGAAATCGGCAGATAGAAGAAGAGAGAGCGAGAGAGCGAGTGAGTGAGAGAGAGCTGTAGTGAAAGAGAGTAAACAATCAAATAAAGATAAACACACTATCAGCTTTATACAAATATTGATTTACACTTATCATTGAGTTTAGTTAGCTTTGGAACGTTGTATTGCCATGTTTTCGCTCAAGCGATATATGGAAATTGGCATTTGCCTAGCCGTATTTGGCCTAACAATGGCCACAAATGCGCTGCCTTATCGCTGTAAGATCCACACATATATAAACTGTAAACATAATATATACTATAGTGATATGAGTGTAAGCTCAATTTATATTTAGGGAATATCAAATTGGAGGAAATACGCCTACTGCAATTTGCGGCCACTATGGCTCTGCTCTTTGGCGTGCTAAAAGCTCATAGCCAGCACAAGGATAAATTTCAGATATTCTGGATGATCGTAACCTCGATCACACTCATCGCTCTGCTGTATGCTGGCTTGCGGGAGATCGTCAGTCATCGCTCACTACTTGGCAGCACTTTGGCCTGGGCTATTGCCTGTGAGTTTTTGGCTAAAGATTTCATCTACATATATATAAATATATAAAATATTTGCTTTTTAAGTGCTCGTTGGAGGTCTGCTGAACATCATGTACAATCATTATGTGGAAACAACTATTGAAGCCGCTGAGAGCACCACTGAGATACTGCAAACACATCAGCCGCCGACGCTGAGCCCCAAGGGCCCGATAAACTCCTTTGTTTATGGATGATTGGCCTAAATGGAACTCCATCATATTTATTGCGAATAAAAATTTGAAAACCTGTTGAAATGCAAAAAGCTTGAGTCGAGTTGTAGGTGCAGCTTTGCTAATTAAGCAGGCAAAAGGGCAACCTTTTGCATTAATTTTAATTAAAAATTGTCTATTCCCATGCCACTTGACGCTCAAAAGTTTTGTGGGTCAAACTTTTGTTCAATTTGCATTTGGCCAAAGCCAAAGCCAGAGCCAAAGCCAAAGCCAAAACGGAAGCCCAATGCCAAACAGCAATGCTTGAATTTATGTTATATAAATTAAATTGGAATGCTGTGCAAATTTGACAGGAGACATTGCATAAATTACACGCGTATAAATTTAATTTGTGGCGGTAACAATTATTTTAATGCGCTCATTTCCAAGGCAGAAACAAAAGTTGCAATAAAAGAAAAAACACTACAACTTTTCTAATATGCGCGACAAACTGTAAGAAACAACAACAACAACTTGAACAAAAATAAAAATAAAAATAAGCACAAGGACAATTATTCCCGAAAGTGCTTGAAAGTTGAATTTAGCGAAATGAACCCGAATAAAATTGAAATCTCCCAAGCGTAAATAAACTTCGAGGCGAAAGCGCTCGACTAGCGCCATCTATTGTTAGGCAGCGCAAGCTGCTTGCACTCATTTGCCTTAATACAATAATATTTTTAT